ATCCCTGCAAAACCGATAGGGGTCACCCCTGGGCATATTCTAGCTGATCCCTGCATAACCGATAGGGGCCGACCTGAGTTCTCGCGGGCTTTACGTCGAACCATAGGTTTAGTCAGCCGCTCATATAGATAGTGCATCTCCGTGTCTCTCCTTGTTTGTGTCCGTCTGCATGCTTCATGTTTGCATCCTAAAACGTGCCTGTGAGTCAGTGCTGAAGCTAGTTCCCCGCAGAACCCCGAGGTCCAAAAATCGGTGTGTCCCGATACGCACGGCATGCACTGCCGCCACCGGCGACATCTCCGCTTCGGTGCAAGATCTGGTGCCTCGTTACAATGCACAGCTTCATAACTGCATGAGGTCGCGTTGGCATTTCATTGTATCTTTCAACAAAGTACGTTACACAGTGCACGTACTTAAGTTAGACTTATACATCCATGCATTTACACGTGCTGAAATACGTATACACATACACGGACATACATGCATACATACATCCATCCTAACGTACTCACATACTTACACACTTACATACATACATACATACATACATACATACAGACATACATACATACATGCTTACATGCATGAACATATTTGCAGATGTATATACGTATACGCATACATATGCATCCACATATGCATATACATATGCATATATGTAGATAGATAGATAGATAGATAGATAGATAGATAGATAGGTAGATAGATAGATAGATAGATAGAGACAGATAGATAGGTAGATAGATAGATAGGTAAATAGATAGTTAGATAGGTAGATAGATAGGCAGATAGACAGATAGGTAGATAGATAGATAGATAGATAGACAGGTAGGTAGATAGATAGATAGATATATGGATAGGTGGCAGTTCGGTAGATAGGTAGATAGACAGATGGATAGATAGATAGATTGATAGCTACATATTTATTCACATATAGAGATGCATACATACATCCATACATACATACAAATGCACAACCATGGACACAAACACACATATTCACAGGACATACATCTACCATATGTGTAATTATATAGATCTATACATATTCGCATATATCCTCGTGCACATATGTATACATACATATATATATATATACACATCCACATAATGCGAGTTCGTACACATACATACATACATACATACATACATACATACATACGTACATGCATACATACATACAGACACACATGCCTACATACATACATACATGTTACATACCTACGTAGTTAGTTAAATGCACACTCAGCTAGGCAAGTGTATAGGTGTTTCTGCACTGTTACATATAATGTACAAGGCAGATCGGTGTGTGTGTATGCGTTTGTGTGGATGGTGCTACTTCTGCCTGCCATTACTTCTGGCATTTGGCTTGTGGGGTTTTCGATTTTAGTGTAAAGAGTTGGGCTTTTGCTGTCAGTTGATGTGTGACCCACATCTGAGGTGACATTGGCTGCATGCACTAATGCTTCCGATATTGAGAAGCAGCTTCTCACATTGCTTGATGGTCGGAGGAACACGTCGAGGTGGAGTTATACAGTCTACCAAGCTGCATGCCGAGGTCCTTCTGGACATTCCTTTTCCCCGAAGCACACACCTTTCATGTTCTTCACTCACATACTGTTAAATTACGCGTCTCGGTCCGGGCTCGTTGCATTTGTGCTGCCAAACTTTGCGCACGACTTCTACCATGAAGTTATGCCTCAGGCTACTCTTGACCAGCAGGGGGTCCAGGTCATCGTGCACGGCCATGCCAGGCCTTGTTGGCTGTTTGAGCAGCGGCCATCAACTCGAAACACTGCATCTCTCTGCTACCTGTACCAAAGGACCTTCGAGCGCATTTGCAATGGTGAGGATGCCCACGTCATGCTGAGAGTCAGGCCGACGGCGATCTTGACAAGTTGGGCTGTCATACGGCGAGTGCCAAAGCATCGGTTTGAGATGGCGATGCGCCACTCATTTTCGCCTCGTGATATGCACGACATCATGGGCCTCTTGGCAATCCTGCTGTTGCAGGCCTTTTTACCGGAGCCCTTGGCGGAAATGGCGCTTCGGTCTGGTCGATTCCTCGAAAGCGACAATGTGGAGCAGCTTGTGTACAGTAATGTTGCCGGGCATCGGATTTTGCAAGAGACTCGACAGGAAAGCTCATTGTGATGTCAGGGATAGTCATGCTCCGCAGGCTGGGCATTTATCCTTAACTCCCATACCTGCTCCGTGCTCCCGCTCGCTGCTGCTACCACTACGACTACCACTACTACTACCCTCGGCCACGACCCCTACGACCACCACTACCACTGCCGCTACCACTACGAGGTCACTCGACCACGACCACTACGACTACCACTAGCACGGCCACGACCACCACCACCACAACCACAACCACAACTGCTACTGCTACTGCTACTGCTACTGCTACTGCTACTCCTACTACTACTACTACTACTTCTTCTTCTACTTCTACTTCTACTTCTGCTACTACTGCTACTGTTGCTGCTACTGCTACGACGACGACTGCC